TAAATCTTAGTGACTAAATAGTAGGAGATAGTAACATGTTCGAGGCTGGTCGACATAACTTATTACTACTATTCAATAAAATTAGTAAATACCCTCCCATACGATTAACTTTGTTGGTAGTTACGTAAAACGACAATAACGATATTATTCCTAAATTACCACAAATCGTGATACGATTAATGTACATTACTAAATTAGGGATGTTACTATTCTAATGTCAAATCCAATACAAAAATCGATTAATCGAGTAGAGAGATAATTGAATCCGAATTAATCCGATCCATGTAACCGAACGAGGCCTACCTGCCTTAGCGTTGTCAACAAAAAAAAATTGGGACAAAGGCCCCTTTTTTTTTTATTGTATCAATCTACATAACCTAATTTTCACCACATCTACAGTTCTTCTGAAGAACATAGTTACTGTTATTATTATTATCTCATAGATTTTTTTTCAAAATTAAACTGAGATTAATTAAATTGATTATCACTCCACACCCAAAATCGCATAAACCCTAGCTCCTTATAGGTAAATTTCTCAACCTAAATATAATAAACACAAGTAAATCCTTTTAGAAAGAAAATAAGTATGTTTCATTTGACAAGCGTGTGAATTACCTGAAGAGAGAGATGCATTTGATCAATTTTCCGATTTCCCACCGGCCGGCCGGCGGCAGCAATCCGTCGTTTATCAGCTTGAACGGAAAGCGAATATGATATATGGGCTTCAAAACAAACTAATTCAGATCCACTATAAAAACTTCAGAAATACCGGTTTTGGGTTTTGCAGATGCTACACCCGATAAACTATATCGGATGATCTTGAATCATTGATTTACACAATCAATAACACACATGCTCATGTGTATGTATACTTAGTAAATAGTTATTTATATAGATTTACGGTTTAAAACCATTTAGTGTGTTACACTAGATGTATTATCTCATACACAAGGAATAGAATTATTTATTCTATTGATTTAAAATTTATTCGATAATAGCAATTATATCCCTAAAATACTAATTTTTGAAAAGAATTGCATATAGTACTATCAAAGAGATAACAATTTAAGTATCATATCTAATTACTGATTAAAGAAAAATATTATATCTACCACACTCGTATAATAGTTTACTAATCATAATAGAGATAGACGTAAATTACATTAGGTTAATCATGTTTGACAAGCCAATCTGGCGACCATTTGACAAAGGGATTCGAATTTGAATCAATTGGCACAAGCTCACTTGTTTCAACCGCTAGACCATCACTTACAGTGGAAAATGAAACGCTAAACCTTAATTCGAACACTAAACCTTAAATCGACTAATTAAAATTACACATCAAACTCTCCTAACGAAAGTCACATTACAGTAAACATTTTGATTGCATCACTACTTACTTACGTGCCTTAACAAAAATCATCAACAATAATTCAATAAATTTTCTATGATTAGTGGCTCCTTTTTTTGCCTTTTTCTTATTGTCTTCTCCCACTTTAGTTAAACATTCAAAGTTCGAAACTATACCATACTTGACACACAGGTGACCACCAAACTTTCCATCATATAAAAAAGACACAAATACTAATTGAAAAAAAAAACCCTTAGTAATTCTCAATCTCCAATTCTTGAATTACTAGTTGGAAAAAAAAATGGTGTGCCTAGGAATACTATTTGGCTGCAGGCCCGATTCGCTCAAGTCGTACGCATTATCGGCCCTCTTCGTCATTGTCATCCTCGTTTCTCTACGGTTACTTTGCTATGCAATTCGTCCAATTTTCAGGAGGAAAGAAAACGTGGGAACTGATGATCGGAATTCCGTTCCGGTGGAGATGCAGCCCGGGAATCTGAATTCCAGGCCCGAAACTTCGCCCAAAAGCATATCTATCAGATTTCAGGAGAAGTGATATGTATATCCCTTCTTATTATGAGCAAGTGTTTGTGACATTTTCTTGTAATTGTTGCCTTAAAAGATATTTGATCTTCATTTGCTCATCCTTATTTTGATCTCATTTTATTATTTCCTATTTCTTTTAATTTAGTTTAATCTTGTATTTTGTTATTTCTAATAGACACTGTCAAATATAATAGATCATCACTACTCACTTGTAAATATAAATTAAAATTTAAATAAAAATCTTCGGTAATACATGAATACATATCCAATGAAACCATACCAATATAATCTGGTCATTCCACCAAACGAGCCCTTAAAATACAAGTGTTCAATTGCTAAAATCGTACCAAAATTTCGCACAGCCTAATTGTTTTACCGAATACCGAACATGATTTGGTTCGATCATCTCATCAAAATTAATGTTATATACATAAAATAATAAATATTATATAAAATAAATATTTCAGTAATCGATATGTACTAAATAATCGGATTTTATTTTAGAAAAAAATGAATTATCGCTTCAATTTTCGGTCTAATTGCAAAATTTATTACTAATATGGGGCGAATTAGTAATTACCCATATGTTAAGGGGTCGGAATAAGATTTTCGAATAAATAGATCAATCCTCCCTTCCCTTCGGCAACCAACTGAACTTGTCCAGTCGGAAGCAGTAATTACCCCCTCACACTAAACACACGCAGTGAGCGTGAAAATGCCGACGGCGAACAAAATGCTCGAAGGATCGTTCTCCGCACGTCGGTCGCCACGCGCCACCGAGAGCGGTGTCTCCGGCGAATTCGACGGCAGCGATGAGTCCAAGACACGTAAGCACGTATCTGTAGCTGCGAGGGTCACAAATTACTTGATCCGGACCGGGTTCATATGGCCCGTTCTGATAATGGGGATCGCAATCGTGATTATCTCTTCTCTGGTTATCTACTCGCGAGATTTGGTCTGCATCTCGGCTTCCTCCTCCGCTCATATTTCCCGATTGTTTGTTGGATTTGATGGCCTCGAGTCTGATTTCGGATCTCTCGGCGTCCCCTGGTGTAAGTTAGCACGTGTTTCTGCATTTTATTTTTATTGTTATTATTATTATTATTATTATCATCACTGTGATTTGGAAACTGAATTTGCTATTTTACTTGCAAAATTATGATGTTTGAAGTAAATAATCGCATGTTTTTAGTTCGTCTTCGTAACAATTAGTGGCAGTGAGTTTGAATTTTGGTGGTTTTATTTTCGTTTGCTTTGATTTTGGGGGAATGATTGGGAGATCTGTGGCTTTTTGTTGCGTTTTATTTGTGTTCACTTGAGAATTGAGTATGACTGCAATTTGCAGGGGATAAAAATGGTTGCTGGAAAATACTAAATTGGAAATGTTTCATATTTTCACTTTATCTCTCTATGCAATGATCGTATAAATATTTACATTTTTCTTTCATAAGTCGTATACGCATATAAATTGTTATCCTTGTCAGAAGGCAGATCGAAACACGGAGCAACTGTGGAATGGACATCTCAAGATTTGATCGAAGGTCTCGAGGAGTTTGTGCCAATATACGAGACCCGGCCCATCAAGAACAACATGTATGGCATGGGCTTCGACCACAGTTTCGGGCTTTGGTTCATCACAAGATGGCTTAAGCCAGATTTGATGATCGAGAGCGGTGCTTTTAAGGGACACTCCACGTGGGTTTTGAGGCAAGCTATGCCCGATACCCCTATTGTGTCACTTTCGCCACGTCATCCCGAGAAGTACCTTAAGAAGGGGGCCGCTTATGTTGATGGAAACTGCACCTACTTTGCTGGAAAAGACTTTCTAGATTTCGGAAGCATGGACTGGGGAAGAGTGATGAAGAAACACAGGATCGAAGATCAGAGCAGAGTACTTGTGTTTTTTGATGACCATCAAAATGAACTCAAGAGGTAAGTATTTGGTATCTTCTAGGAATCTTACATGTTGATCGAATTTGTAAAATCTAATATTTCTTTTTTTTTTCCCGTATGGTGTGATGCGTAGATTAAAGCAAGCACTGAAAGCTGGATTCAAGCATCTCGTTTTTGAGGACAACTATGATACTGGAACTGGGGACCATTATTCATTCAGGCAAATATGTGATCAGTTCTACGTTAGAGGTTTGTTGTTCTCTTTCGCTATTCGTTTCAAGAATTTCTTATTTGTAATTTGGCAAATTTGACTTGTACAAATCGGCAAGCCTCTTCAATATGCATTTGTTTTCATTTTTGGTGTAAAAATATTTGAAACTGTGAAACAAACAGCCGTATGCTAAATCATAAGCTTGTATGCTAAAGATTTGGTCCGAAGTTTGTGATTAATCCATTAGTTTTAAGTGAATACGTTGATTAATTAACACGATACATTTCTAGTCTTAACATGTTATACACGAAACGTTTTCTATTTTCAGGTGGTGGCCATAGTTGCTTCAAAGATAGCGACGAAGCTAGAATAAGATCTAGAAGGAAGAAATTCTGGGAGAAAGCAGTCGATGTAGAAGAGCTATGTGGGCCCGGAGAAGAATGGTGGGGCGTGAGAGGTCACATGCGTGACGATTTTAACCACAGCAATAAAGCAATTACCTACAACAAACATTTTCAGAACAGCAGATTCGTAGAATCTGTGCTGGATGTTTACTGGGAGCTGCCCCCAGTGGCGGGCCCCTCACTCACCCATCAGACGAGATATGACCCGGCCCGTGTGCCCGGCCCGATTGTAGAAGATGGTAGATACGGGTTATTTCAGAGGGTAGGGTTATCGAGACTCGAGAGTTCCGTCTTTAATGGGTACACTCAAATGGTTTATCTTCGGGTATCTGAACCAGAAACATAATCATCCTCTCGAATTCTGTTTTCTACGGCTTTGTTAGATATAATTTTTTCAATTTGTTTTTTACTTTGTAGTCTTGTACAAGCATTTATTGTTTACTACTGCTTCTGTGTTGAAGTTACTAATGTTTTTTTTTTTTACCCAAATTTCCTTCATTGTTCTCCATGAAAAAACTAGGAAGTGTGTGAGAAGATATACCCTATCGTTACTAAATTAGTTTTTCATTTCCTGAAAAAAAAAATCGATTTTTTCCACCCGGAAATTTTCGGGAAAACTGAGATGGGCGATTATCCATCAAACATAGCACAATTATTCATCAACGCTTCTACTGAATTTCACGATTAAACGTCGAAATGAACACTGCATATTGAATTGAGCATTTTATATTGATTTGGAATATGGAACAAACACTTCCTACATTCAAATTTCAATGTTAAGATCATTTACTAGTGCAAATTCCACTAAACTGAACTGTAGTATGTTTTTTTTTTCTTCCCATTATTAAGTAATGCGTCGAAGATTTATACAATCAAATTCTGTCCCTCATCATTTCAAGATTAAATGAGTAAATTAATTATACATATACATATAGAATTTGGACGTTTTTAATGGAAAATATTCTTGCAATTAAATTAGTACATTTGAATCATATATTCACATCGTCGATATGTCCGAGTGGTTAAGGAGACAGACTCGAAATCTGTTGGGCTTTGCCTGCGCAGGTTCGAATCCTGCTGTCGACGTTTTTTGCTGTTGTTCGTCTAACTTTTTATTTGCCTTTGATTTTATTTAATTAGTTTTGACGATAACATTTTTTATTCAGAGGAGAAAATGGTAAATTATCTTCAATACAAGACTGGTATTGTCATTTGACACATATCCCACGCTCTCTTATCCCTTTCTATCCAAATCCCCCACCACAAATGGCTTCCACAGCACACTCAAACCTCACACTCTTCTCCAACTCCACCACCACCACCGCCGCCGCCCCCGCCACCAACATCCGCCGCACAACCACCATACGCTGCGGCCCACGCGACAACCGCGGCCCGCTCCTAAAAGGCCGAATCCTAAGCATCGAAGCAATCCAAGCCATCCAATCCCTCAAACGCGCCCACAGAACCGACCCGTCGAATCTCCCCACCCATCTCTTCTCCCGCCTCCTGAAAGCCGATCTCACCGCCGCATTGAAGGAGCTCCTCCGCCAGGAACAATGCGCCCTCGCCGCCAGAGTCTTCTCCGTCATCCGATCGGAGTACGGCGCCGACCTCAGCATGTACGGCGAGATGGTCGTCGCCCTGGCCAGGAATGGATTGACGGAGGAGATCGATCGGCTGGTTAATGAGATGGAGACGGAGGGGCTGATCCGGTGCGACGAGACCAAGGGGCTGTTGAGGCTGGTCAAAGCGTTGATTTTTGCGGAGAGGAAAGAATCGACGGTCAGGATTTATGGGATGATGAAAAGCAGTGGGTATGAAATGGATGAGTATTTGGGGAGGGTTTTGAGCAAGGGTTTGAGGAGGTTTGGGGAGGGGGAATTGGCCGATGAGATTGATCTGGAATTACGTAGGTTGTATAGGGGTATTTTCGTCAAACCATGAGTTTACTTTGTAGTTGGTGTTCTTAATTGAAAAAAAAAAAAGAAAAAATAGAAATATTTTTATTGAGACCAATTTTGTTCCTTTTTATATTAGTTTATTTTAATAATTTCGTAAAATTATTGGAATAATTGATGAAAGGGAATTTTGAATTTGCATTGCATACATGAATAATCTAACAATGTAAACCGATCCGAGTTCGATCATCTTTAACAATACGGTCTGTGATCCGTCAACTGGACAGTGTAAAACATATCAAATATGACTTGCGTTTCTCGAATTGCAAACCGAAAACGGCTGATGACCTGAAAATTCTTTCGGAACTACCGGAATCGAAACCGGCCCTAAGGCGCACACAACATATCACTAGACCGATTTGCGATTACAATTCATGGTACGATTTCGAAATCGCCTACAATATACAATTATTTAAAGAAAAAAGAAAAAAGAAAAAAGAAAAATAGGCACAGCCCGCACATGGTAGTAAATTGCAAGTCCCTATGCAATCTAGGGATGCGGGTTCTTCTACCACCTATAAAGACGATAATGCCCCTACCATTTAGTTTTCAGCAAATTTTATTATTCTATTATTTAATAATAAAAATAATAATAATAATTGAATAAAATTGAAAATAGAACTTTCTAAAAGTCCTGAGAGAAGAAAAGAAATGTGGAGTGCAATAGTACTGCGTGGTGGGGAAGAAGAAGAAGAGATTGCGCAGAGCTGAGAAACACATACACAGATAGGCAATCAAAACTATTTAATTTTATTTTTCTTCAAAAAATATTATTCACAAGAAAAAAAAAAGGAAGAAAAATGGATAGACGAACCCTAGCTTCGTCGTCTTCATCCACCAGTAGTAGTTCTGTACATCCGCCACCGCCGGAGGATGCCTGGTACAATACTTACCTGAAGCTTCTTCCTCAATCGCAATCTCTTCACTCCTCTAGCCGGGTAATTGAATTTTAATTTTTGAGCAAATTTTTTTTTTTTTTTGGGGCTGAAATGGATAATACACTAAATTGAGGTGAATGATGTAGTTTTTGTAGTCATTTTGGAGATTTTTTTGTTTTTGTGTGAAGTTTCAGTTTTGTTTGGTTACTGTGTTGGAAAAATGAAAATATGATGGTGCAATTCGGTACATAATGGGAGATATGTTTAAAATTGTAATTCGATTGTGTTTATTTTACAGGCGGTGATTCCGATTGAGATATCGAGGGTTAATCAGGTTGATGCTGGAAGGCTGGACATTGAAATGTCAGCCATGTTGAAAGAACAGTTGGTTAAAGTTTTTTCTTTGATGAAGGTAAAGGAAAGGTCGTGCTGCTAATCTGTTTACTTTGTTGGTCCGGAAGTTTCGACGCATTATTTGGGAGTTCGAAGGCATTTGATATATCATTTATCCGTTCTGTTTTTTTTGTTTTTTTGGGATTAGCCAGGAATGTTATTTCAATACGAACCTGAACTTGATGCTTTTCTTGAGTTTCTGATATGGCGATTCTCCATCTGGGTCGATAAGCCTACTCCTGGTAATGCTCTCATGAATTTAAGGTACAGAGATGAACGTGCAGTTGAAGCAAGGGGAAAAGGTCGGTAGTTGTTTAATTTTTTTGTTCTGCTATTAGTTGAATTATGATTGCAGGATCTCCTTTTACATTTATTCTGTGATTTTGCTTGATTTAGTACCGTCTATGATCATACCATCATCACTTTAATTTGGTAGCTAAATATTATTCACTTTATTCAGGCAACACGACCTTAAGGAGTTGAACTTAGCATACTACTCTTTTCATTTTCCTAATTAAACAAATCTCATCGTTATATTCTTAGCTTGAAGAGATGAAATTAGTGAAGGTAAAATAAAATGTTTCCTTTTCATCGATTTGAATGTTGTATATCATTGATTCGTAACCTCTGGTAAAATTTTTGTCCATGGACCAAAACATGGAGTATATGAAGTAGCCTGACATCGAAACTACAGTTACTTCGTAGCTAATCATCCGTTTATCTAATGTTTAATGTATTAGAGAGGAGATAAATTTAATATTTAGGGCTTACAATGATAGTTTTCTCAATTATCTCTTGCTATGGATATCCATTAAATCTGTATTAAACTGCTCCGACTTTTTCGCTCAATGGATGTGGTTTCAACTGCATTTGTGTAGTTAGAACGGGACTAGAAGGGCCAGGATTAACTGTTTCTCAGAAGATCTGGTACTGTGTTGCTACTGTTGGTGGTCAATATATTTGGGCCAGACTTCAGTCATTTTCAGCATTCCGTAGATGGGGTGACACTGAACAGGTATGCTCGTTTTTTTTCAGTCTGCTAGATGCAACCACATTATACTGTTGGTTTGTCTCTTTCTTTGCAAGACACACAAACACTCACCAACTCGTTAGCAATGATTTGCATGTCCAGAGAGATTGAACACTCATGAATATCAGAATGGAAGTATGTTCTGGCATAAAAGAAGCAGCCTAATCTTGTCTTTTTCCTCCAGAGATCACTAGCTCGGCGAAGTTGGCACCTATTACAACGCATTGAAGGATTTTACAAGGCTGCATCTTTCGGAAACCTGCTCGTGTTTCTCTTGACAGGAAGGTATATTTTTAACGAAGCCCTGTCTCTTTCTATACTTGATTGGAACTTTTGGGTGACAAATCATCTGTTTCTGTATTTTGTAAAAGCTCGTACTCTTACTGATAGTGTATGTAAAGCTGCAAAAAAGTAGTCTCCTAAACAAGTTACCACTTATCTACGACAGAGAAGAATCTTATTATACTCCCTTTGTAGTCGGTAATGTGGATTTTAGATAACATTGTCTCAGGCATTCTTACTACATGTGAAAGATTTTGTTACATGAAAGCAATCTTAAACTTGTTTACGATCAGGAATAAGGTTGCAACTTATATATGCACAGGTACAGGAGTCTTATCGAGAGAGCCTTAAGAGCAAGACTTGTCTATGGGAGCCCTCATATGAATCGAGCTGTGAGCTTTGAGTACATGAATCGGCAATTGGTGTGGAATGAATTTTCGGTAAATTCTCTCGTCATTTCTTGCATGCAGTAGTTAAAAATTCTGATTAGCCGAGAATTGAAGTTATATGTTCTTTCAATTCACCCTTATGAGTAAAGAAAAAAAGTCCCTTCTTCATTGGGTTAGTTTTTATTCAGTAAATACTCTTATTTGTGTGACTATTTTAGCTTTTCATTTAGTCGAACAAGGAACCAGTACTATCTGTCTCGATTATGTTTATATCTCTTTTTAATGATTACCGGCTGAAGCATGAGGTAACGTGTAGGAAATGCTGCTGTTGCTTCTTCCTCTTCTCAATTCATCATCTGTTAAAAAACTTCTCCAACCATTCTCAAAAGATAAATCTTCGAACTCAGAGGGAGATGAGGCTTTATGCCCCATTTGCCAGGCAACTCCAAGCACTCCTTTTTTAGCTCTCCCATGTCAGCACAGGTAAATTTTTTCGACGTCTTTGAATATATTTTTATTTGCACTTGCATCTACGTCATTAATCAAAATCCTTAGGCCGCCTTCGTATGGTTGGTAGGGTAAGTCATAATCAATTAAATAACTAGGTCTTATTTGATGTTTGTTTAGTGCAATAATGCTTTATGTCGACCCTCAAATTATGAAAAATTGAGCTCTTATATTGGCTTATCAGGGATTTTGTATTGGACCTCCCCTAGTCCAGTTTAACAGTTGGGTTTTCTAGCTAAACTTAATGAATAACAATAAAAATCATTCCAAACCTCAGAATCGACAAATTTTGACATAGAAAGAAAAAAGTCGAAGCTCGCAACATTGATGAAAAAGAAACAAAGAGATGAATGATGATAGCAAAAAATGGAGAATATAGTATATTGACTGCATGAATTGTGACATCAACCATATTTGACCTAATTAGCAGTAATTAATCCATGTTTTAACTTAGTTACAAGGGGTATTATAGCTATCACAAAATAATTAAGATACTCTAAAGGTGATAGGATATATTATGCAGAACATCGTTAATTATGGCATCTTTTGTGGGTTTTAATATTAATCAGAACTATGAAGAATAAATAATAGGTTAAAAATCAAGAATCACGAACTTTTCCGATAGCAATGTTCATGTGTAGATCTTTTGCTGGCTCAGGTATTGCTATTACTGTCTCCGAACAAGGTGTTCTGCAACTATGGCGTTTCGATGCTCCAGGTGCAGTGAGCCAGTTGTTGCTATGCAACGGCATGGAAGTTCGAGCAGCAATATTGCTCGGTGAAATATTGAATTCTAGAAGGATAATGAAATAACAAAGCACACCTATTAGAATGTTGTACCATCTGTACGAAAGAAGTGCCCGAAGTTGGCATCAATTATTGAAATCAAGAATGCGAAATATTCATTTATATAGAAAACTTCACTCCATTTTGAGTGAAACATAATTTTTCAGATATCCTTTCCCATGGATCAAGATTTCAGCTTCTTGGTTTCGTGATTCACGCATCCGTGCGTGTGTGTGTGTGTGTGTTGCTCCACTATTTGGTACACGTGGTGAAATATACGGGATAGTTTTCCACCGCTGATTTTTCACACAATCACTGTAATGTGTAAAATATGTATGGATTTAGATACGTGTCTGATAGGATTATAATTTTATAATATGATAAAGTTCATCGAGTGTAGCATAGAACAGAGTGTGATTAATGGAGTAGCATTGAGAAGATTGATTGTGACTTGTGGGTTAGAATAATAAAACCAGGCACAATGATATTGTGGGAAGAACTGCAGCTCCACTAGTTGAAAAAAACGTGTTTTTTGTCCTCCCAAAATCCCATAGACTTGGGAGCGCTTTTAGCTATTGGATTTTATTTTGTTTCCTCTATTAAAATTGCCAACACAAAGAATCCAAAATCAATAATGGATATTTTGACATTAAAACATGCTTTTGTCAAGTTTTCTCTACAATCCCATGTGAATTATGGCCCTGTCGGGGAGGTACAATGTGCAAAATTAATTTTTATGGCAAATTATGGCGACCCATGAGTTATTATCAAATTACGAAAATCTCTCTTCTGTTTGAGTAAGTACAGTCACCCCTCAACTATGTATTATCTTACCAAAACACCCTCCAGAGATAAATTTAGAGATGTTAAATCGGTAAAAATTGAACTGAAATTTCGGTACGCCAATATTTCATATCGTTTACCATACTGAAATATACGATTAGGTTCGGTAAATAACCGAATTACATAAAGTTTATATAAAAATATTCAAAAGGAGGGGGGTGGCTGTAATTACCAAAACAAGAGGTTTTTTTTTCTCGTAATTTGGCCATACCTCAGGAGTGGCCGTAATTTGCCCTATTTTTTTTTTTTTACTTTGGAATTATAGATATTTCTTCAAAGATATCTTCAATTTATAATCATTTAAATCTCATTTGCTACTACAATTTTCTTTTTTGCCCCTCCTATAGATCAAATGTTGAATACCCTCGTTAAGAACCTGAAAAAAAAGCATTAGGAGGAATTTTTGTATTAACATTCTGACGATCAAGTCAGTCATTGTGGATGAAAGTGACGACTAAAAAATATCTAAAAGTTAGTCATTTGTCGAAAAGAACGAGCCAAAAGAGTCTCCAGTAATTAAATTTGTCATTGGTCGAAAGAGACGAATTAAACAAACTTCTTGATTAGATCAAAACAAAACAAAAGTTTTCCTCACAACGTACAATTTTTATTTCTCAAAAAAAAAAGACGTACAATTTTTCATTTAAAAAAAAAATTGTAGATTCTAAAGAGAATAATAGTGACTCTTTTGGCCGACACCTCTAATTTAACTATTCATCATAAACTCATAGGGATCCGATGAACGAATCTCACGCTCCTATTTATCTTTAGGCTTAGGATAATAATATTATCCGAGGCTATAACAAAATTTTCAAATATTTTTTTGTCAAATCTAACAAAAAGTTGGTTTATTAAAATTTTGAAAAAAAAAGTCACTCTAGCAACAATTATTAACTAGAAATGTATATATAAATTATTGAAATTGTAGACCTCGAGAAATATTTTTGTGGAGCAATGATCTAACAATTAATTATGAGTTTTGGCCTTTTTGGGGTCAACAATTATCAACCAAAAATATATATAGTGAAAGCGTGTGAATCGTGGTACACTTTTATTTTTTGATATCGAGGTACGCTTTGTACATTGAGTGACTATTAATTTTGATTGATTTTATTTTTTAAGTAATACATAAGATAAGTACATATCATTTGTTTTATTTATATTTTAAATTCACGAAGTAGTAAGATTTTTTATTTATTAATATTATCAAAAATAAATTAAAAGATGAAAATATTGACATGTAAGTAGGGATGTACTTGTGTAAATGAGCTGAGCTCGAGCTCGAGCTTGAGTCAAATTTGGTGAGCTAGCTCGTGTGCTTATGAACTACTATAGATGGACTCGAGCTCGAGCTTGAGTCAAATTTGGTGAGCTGACTCGTGTGCTTATGAACTACTATCGATTGACTCGAGCTCAAACACATCAGAAAGCTTGAGCTGCGAAAAATTCAATCTTGAGCTCGAGCTAGAGCCAACTATCGAATTGCTCATGAGTCGGCTCAACTCATTTACAGCCCAGATGTAACTACTATGTGATATTAGCTTTATACATGACAATGTACAACACAGTCCAAATCCTCTTGTCACAAGAAGGCGAGTGGTACCACGCGTGCCAATAAATATACATATCCATTCATTTAGCCTTAGGCACTACCTACCAATAAATATTAGTTATCATGTCATGTAAAGTCATTAATTAATAAATAGAAAGTTGTGGTAGGAATTCGAAATGGAATTCTTGAAATAATTATTCTTTCCAATTCTTTACATATTAAATTTGTATAGTATTAAAAAAGAGATATATACAGTAGATTACCAACAACTTTATTTAATTTGTTATTTATTTATTAATCTAAGGTCAACAAGAAAATGACTGCCAACAACATATAAAATTCTAAAGCTTAAACTTTTTTATTGATGCAATTTTCAAACTGATAATTATGATTCTTTTTTATTTTTATTTTTATGGGTTAGTAAAGTATATATATATATATATATATATATATATATATATATATTTCATGATTATGTAAACTGAAATGCTAAATCCTGCACTAAAATTACAAAATCCCACACATAAATAAAATACTTTCTCTCTCTAAAATCCTCCAACACCTAAAACCCTCTTCCTTTCCTCTTCTTTTCCCCCATACTTCTCTCCTCGTTGTTGGCAAAATCACCCTCCAAATCAAGAAATAAGTAGTTAAATATTGCAATTTGTGTTGAAGTATTTACTCTGCAGTGGTACTTTTCTGGTTATGGGGACTTAGGGTTTGCAGGGATGGAATGCGTTCATCCATCAAATGTTGTAAAATGAAAATTGAAAATTGAAACCTTATATCTAAATCTAAACACTTCTATTCATCAAGCTTCAGAGCAGATTGAATATTTTTTAATCCATGTAAAAACAACGACATATTTCAAATCACCCAAAAATCAAATCAATTCAATCAACGAACAAGCAAAAAAATCTTTACATCGCGCTAAAAAAGAATGCGGACGGAGATAGGTGGGTGTCTGTGGTGGCCGCGCGGTGAAGAAAGGTGCGTCCACCATAGCCGCGGGTTGCAGTAGTCGTGCGTCCAAGGTGGATGCAAGGGGAATAAAAAAGCATCATGGTGGACGCAAAAGGGTGTCACATTTTTTTAATTTAGATATAATAATTATTTATTAATATTTAATATTTAATAATGATATTAAATATTCTTAATGTATATGTTTTATGTTTTTTTCTTTCTTTAGATCGATAATTTAAAATTATTTTATAAGTGTTAATAATTGTTTATAATTTTACAATGTTTTAAATAGTTATTTAAGTAATGTTATGAATAATTGTTTAATTTAATATTTTTTTTATGAATATTAATAATTGTGTGTGAAAAGAAGTAAACAAAAGAAGTGAAAGGTGTTGAGGAGAGAAGTCAGAGAAAAAAGTTGTAGAGAGAGAAAATATTTAATTTATGTGCAAGATTTAGTAGATTTTAGTGTAGAATTTAGCACTCCCCTTATGTAAATATATCATACCTACGAATTATAAAAGCAAGAGGAAATCTAGACTAGGAAGATTCAGAACAATTCATAAAATATAGTAATAATTCTTCGTGATTGTATTTTAAAAGGGAATTCATTCCAATAATAAGATTTTATTTTTCTACTTCTTTTAAAGGATTTTTTTCTTTTTCATTTGACAAATTATCTTGTTATTGTCTAAGAACGATGTTCCGTCACGGGACAAATAATCTAATTTCATATTTATAAATATATATATAAATGTTTAATTTTCTCATTTTCACTTTACTAAATCCATAGGATTGTTAATTATGGCAAAATTACTTGTCTATCCAAATTATAACTCAAATAAGGAAACTCTCCCTATATATGTACGCGTAATTATGAACCTAACCCTAATCCTGATCCCATCACTCTAAAAATTCATAGTTAGTAGCATTGTAGCATGAACACGAAAATAGCGATACAACAAAATGGGGAAACGGGCATCGGAAAACGACATGTCCCAAAAATAGGATGCTGAAACTTGGTGGAAACATATAAATATTAAAAATATAGGGGTATATTTATAAATATGCTATATAAACATATATAAGTGTTTATACCTATATATATATTTCCGAACAAATATATATTCACAAGAAATATTATTATCAACTATCAATTTGCAATTGATCATTAAATTATGTAATTAATTAGGGAAGCATTGAAATTTTGCTATTCAAACGTGTTTTTAACTTTTTAGAAATTATGAGTGCTGAATACAAACGTGTTCCAAATTAAATACAAATACGTTAAGAAGCTGAAGTTTCCGTGCTACATAGGTTAGTGGTAGTAATAAACCACCAATTATATATATATATTCATGGGTAATTTTCCATGATTGATTTACACAAATCATACACAATATTCATGTGAAATTATGTAAAAGAAATATGGATAATATACACACACACGTCTATATATATATACAATATTTGTATGTAAAATTTATGAAATGTAGCATACAACAAATTAAGCATTACAGCTGAATACAAGGAAATAATAATAAGTTCCCGGGGCGGGCATTTGGATTTTGGCCTAGAAACACTCTCCATCATCTTTTTTATTCATGTCGTCCCACTTTTTAATAAAGTTAAAGCAAATAATTAATATATACTATATAAATTTAATAATATTCGAAAAGATTAATAGAGAAAATAGAAATGGAGGTAGATGAAAAAAAAAATAGAAATAATGCTTTTTTCTGAAAACCAAAGGCCACAAGTATAAAATTAGTTTGTGTGGTTGACAAAGACTTATGTCGTCGTTTCTTTC